GCAATAATCTGGTAAAGCCAGATTATTTCTAGTTTCAGGCTCCTGTTTTCATGATTTCCTTAAGATGTCTTCTGAGGAATACACCTCAATCAAACTCAGGGATTACATAGACAGGCTGTCCTTTGAGAACATGCAGCAAAGATCAATCACTTTTAAATACAAGCTCTGTTTGTGTTATCACTTAGTCATGATGAACTGCAGATTTTCCTGTGCTGAAAAGTGCTTTAGTCTTTCCCTTTTGCCCTAAATGTATGGATACACTGCATGAGGCTATTTCTGTCAAGTAATGTTAGTGGATGATTTATGGTTCAAGTCAACCATGCGTAAAGTGATAGCCATCAACTTACATCAGTATCATGTAGTCTATGGTAAAGCCTGCTAAGCTTGGTGGATGGACTTTGACGGTTATTAATCATTTGTCTTAACTACAGGAAGTGTGAATAGTGCAAGAGTGGTTAATAAAGGAGGAGTCCGTTTCTGAAATGCCTGAAAGAATTAAAAAACCTAGATCATTTTTTAGTAAAATCTGATTTAATAACATAGATGTCCTCGAAAAAAAAAGAGAACAAAAAAAACAAGGCATTTAAATATAGACAAGAGTTAGCATTTTTGCTGAATCTAAGTGTATGAAAGGGATTTCTAAAAGAAGTAAAAATTATAGTAGATTTTAAATAAGATGGTAAATGAGTTCCAAAATAATAAATACAAACACCGAATAAAAAAGGAAAGTACATTTGAAAAATATAACAATTACTTTTTTTTAATCAGGAATTATTCATTTAGGCTGTTTGATTACTGTCTCGTTGTTTTTGGATTAAGTCAGAAGATAAACAAAATGTTGAAAGTAACAAATTCAAGTTTCAGAGTAAAAATATGCTATCATAAATGTTTATAAAAATGAATACATTTTGATAAGCATGAGGCATCCTGTTTCCTCCAAACTTGAATATGGTTTCTGCAGCAGCATAACAGTTTTCCCAGTACAGTAATATAGGCGACTGTGTTATTAGAATACACCTGGAAACAAACACACTCAGTCATCAGTCATACATTAAAGAACAGCTTCAAATGGTCCCCATCCTGTTTTTTTAAAGAAAGGAATTTGAATTCTCAATATATAAAGAGACTTGACATATTTGATTGGTGATAAACGTAAGATAAAAGCTGTCTAAGTCTAAAAAAAAAAGTCTAAGTGGTGATTGACAGGAAACAGGATGCCACACAATATGAAAACTGTGATCCCACTTTAAAATACAAAGAAATATAAAATTTTCAGATTGCTTTTGATCATCTGAAAATTCCATAGGAATAATTGTATGCATGTTAGACATGATTTTCGATCATTTCAAATTTTACTGCATATCTGATAGTATCCAAAAAAAAAGAAAATAAAAAACAATCCACTGGACTTTGTTTCCAAGGTTGAAGATGTTTCGCTCTCCCATCCAGGAAGCTTTTTCGATTCAAAATGTTTGGAATACAAACTTAGAAACAAAGTCCAGTGGATTGTTTTTAATTTTCTTTTTTTTTTGGAATGACTATGACCTGGATGACTGAGAATATTCATCAGCATCTGATATTATCCTTGGATATTTTTCTCCAGTTTCTTGTATTTATTAAAAGTATGAGACGTCCAACCACATAATTTCCCAAAAGCTTGAAGCTGCCTTTATACCCTCACCACATGTAATATAAAGTGAGGATTAACAAACCCATAACCACTGAACTACTTGTGTATGTTGTTTAATTTGTTAAGGTTCCTAAATCTAATGTAAAATTAACTATTAAAGTCTAAATGCTGGTGAAAAAAAGATGGACGGACGGACGGACGGACGGACGGACGGACGGACGGACGGACGGACGGACGGACGGACGGACGGACGGACGGACAGACAGACAGACAGACAGACAGACAGACAGACAGACAGACAGACAGACAGACAGACAGACAGACAGACAGACAGACAGACAGACAGACAGACAGATAGATAGATAGATAGATAGATAGATAGATAGATAGATAGATAGATAGATAGATAGATAGATAGATAGATAGATAGATAGATAGATAGATAGATAGATAGATAGATAGATAATGCTAAATACATCTAATGCACACACACACAAACCTATATTAATTGATGGAGACATTAAAAAAGGTTGGTAAATAGTTTTTGCTATTAAAGAACTAAAAACTGAGAAAATAAGTAAGCAACATTTTCAAGAATAAAATAATTAAATTGATGTAATCAAGTAAGGCCTTACTCTTATCTAGGGTTTGCAAGCTAATAAAAAATGATTTGAGAAATTGATTAAGAACAGGCAGTGTTGGAGAATTGCACTTATTTATCTCTTATCAAACCCCTTCAGTTGTATCGATCAGGAGTTTTAGGTAAGATAGTGATAAGGATCCCCTCCACAGAGAAGGTCTCCGCTCAGGGCTGAGTGTCTCTGATTCTCTGGGCGGTAGTAACCATGAGTCAGCCCTGAAATTGCTCTAAATTGTTGAGAGTTAAGAATCCTCCATCCCTCACACCAAGGGTGACTCATTCTTAGTAGCAGCATGTCATTTCAAAGACCCTTAGCACAGTGAGTTCTATAAACAATATTTCACAACCAATTTGAACATACACTGGATCAGCCTGGAACCAGATTGGTAGAGGGATCTTCTCCATTATATTTAGAGAAATTCAAAAATTAAAATCTACTTTATTAATTTCCAAAGATCCATGTCAATTAGACAGGTCTGTAGAGATTATATACAAATGGAGAATTGGCCTGAATACATTTTGATGGTGCATGCCATTTGGTGCAGAATGACCCGTACCATAATGGTGATTATATTGCCAGCTTTAAAAATAGTCCAAAATGTAAACAACAGCCTATGCCTTATACATAAGCCAAATAAATAGATCCCAACAACAGAGACATTTGTTTACTCACCCACTTGTCAGTCACATTCAACAGCAGCCATTTAAACCTTTAGTATATCTTGACTAGAAATTGTGCTCCAATACAAATAAGCTTAAAGTTGCTCAACTGACCTCTCTCTTTGTCTGTGTAGAAAAATGTTAGTAGATGAAAAAAATTATTAAAACATTTTGCTACAAGCTGCAGTTCTAAGTAAAGTGTGGAGTTGCATCTAATAAAACATGTTGGTTTTACTATGGTTTTTGAATGTTTATGATAAAATAATGCAGACTTTAAATCAGATGTTCCAAACACTTCCATGGCCACCGGTGTTTAAAATCAAGCACCTAGGCATGCAGACTGTTGTTACAAACACTGGAGGAACAATGGGTCGCTCAGTGAATTCCAGTGTGGAGCTGTGATAGGATGCCAACTGTGCAACAAATCCTGTTCTGGATTTTCCTTGCTTCTAAATATTCCACAGTCAACTGTCAGCTGCATCAGAAGAAAATGGAAGTGTTTGGGAATGAAAGCAATTCAGAAACGAAAGGGTATGCCATGTAAACTGACAGTGCATGGTAAGTGGATGCTGAAACGCATAGTGCAAACTTTCTGCAGGAAAAGGGTTCCCAAGCAGCTGCATCTAAGCCATAAATCTAAAGCCTCATATTTATTTCCTTTCACTTTGTAACCATGCTTTCTATTGTGTTGGTTCAGCTTCCAGTAGAAATGTCACCTCCAGCAAAACAGCCAAAGATGCAATTAAATGGCTCAGAGCAAAGCATATTAATGTGTTAGAATGGCTCAATGTGGGAATCTCTGTGGAATAACCTGAAAACTGAAGCACATGAACTCTCTCCGTCCATCCAGCCTGTCTTAGCTAGTGCTGCACTACTAAGAAGAACAAGCAAAAGTAAAAGCGAGAAAAGAAGGTTTTAAAGTAATGACTTTGGGCTGAAAACAAAAGCAGGCCACAGTTTGTTAGATTTTCATTTAAAAAAAAGCCACTGAAAACCTTTAATTTGTTTCTTCCTAATTGCAATGATATTAAACACACAATAAATTCTAATAATGTATGTCAACACTTAAATTAAAACATTTTAAAAGGTTCTGGTCAGACATTCTTTTCTATGGCATTGTATGCAGAAAACCAATTCATGATCATCGTTTTTCATTTTGTTCCAATTAGTGCATGAACCAAAACTTCACTCTTTAATAAGAATTTGGAAACTATTTTAACATTTGGGACCCAGCTGTATGAAGGCCAAATGAGAGGATGTCCTTCAGCTGTTAGATTAGTGCCACCCACTGGATAATTCCTGCTAAATACACTTCTTTGTGGACAAAGAGCGCTTTGGGGATCCACAGCTGTGATCCCTGTGATTGCTTATCAATCTCTTGCTAAATACTGGGGGATTTATGATCACTTTCAAATCCCTTTTATCTAAACCCCAGGTTGTGTCTCCTAAGGAGAAAAATAAGCGCATTACTCTCTGAATACTTTATATCATTATAGATTAGGGAATGTTTAAACTGTTTGCGTAGCTGGATAAACAACATTACAGCATTTCAATGCTGGTTTAGTTGCAGCTGTATGGAATAAAATGTCTTTTTTCGTGTGATTTTCTCAAATCTGTCCCTGGGAATAAAATGATCGGCCTTTCCCTTTACGTGCTTGAAGATGTTTTTCAGTAACTATAATTAAAAGAAATAAAAATAGAGTAAATCATCTGTATCCGCTTCCTTTTAACAATATAAAGCCAACACAATGCACTGCCTTCAGCCCTAAGTGTTTGGTGCAGGATAAGAGCTCTGGAAAACAAAGTCCATTTTATGGGACTTTGTTCCCCATCCAAAGAACACTGTTACATTTGATCGATGTTTACAAAAAGCGAAACAAAAGTTTCATGAACATTGAAAGTTAAACATTGTTAAAAGAGCGCATGGGGAGAAGAGATTTGGTCATGGGTCAGAGAGAGTGGGAGGAGGAAGAGGAGGGAAGAGAGGGTGAGAAAGGGGAGGTAGATTTTTATTTTTTTTTTTTTCATTTTTTACAGTAGCAAGTTCACCAATCAGAAAAACTGAACACAACAATAGACTGGATGTCCAGGAAGTCTGGGGTGGGGTTTGGATAAGAGGGAGAAAGGTTTAAAACCAGTGATTGCTGTCAAGCTGGACCTAAACAGAGGGCCAGGGGAAGAATAAGTCTGTTTTTGACAGAAACCATTTCATATTATGTAACTAAAAGCTCTTTGGAGGTGTTGCTTCATTTGGGGCCATAAATCTATTTTTAGTCTGTTCCTCTTTAGCACTCTAAGAACACACCGTGAAAAGCTTCTCTGTACTGTTTCTCATCTCTCCATCGGTAAGGTGAATCTCACTAATTTTTTTTTGGGAGGGGGGATTAGATTCACTGTAAACAACAGGGTGAAATTCTTGGATGTATTTAATAGGATGTATGTTGGGTTCCTGAGCTGTTATCAGTGTTTCCACTCACTGTGTTATGGCGCTTATTGTGCTTTGGGCGTTCACTTTCTTTTTTTCTTTGGGCTTATTTTAAATTAAAGTAGTTGGCAGCAGACTGGGCTCTGTTTTGTTCCAACTCCGGAGATTTTTGCTGCTTTTCCTTCACAAATAAATTCAGAGAGAAAGGAGAGGGAAGTAGTGAGCATTTTGGATTCCACTTGTTATGGTTGTGAACACTGCTTTAATTGTTGTTTTTCTGGAGGTGATGTTATTATTCTTGCCATTGTGGCACCCCTGCTGCCTGAGTACAAAAGAAAAAGCAGGCTGTTGCTGTTGCTGTTGAGCTCTTGGACAAATTCCTCTTTCTCTGCATTCTTTCAGCACCAGCGGGTGTTATGGATCTGCAGTGTCTCCTGTGCTGGAAAGTTGTGCCACTTCTTCTTCTGTGTAAGACTGTTTTTGTTTTAATAATCATCATTTTCAGTTTCAAATCAAATTTGACAGAAAGTTGCCAGAATATTGTTTGAAAGGGATGACACACCAAAATGCTTTAACCTGAGACGGAAGTCGAGAACTTTTCATTCTGCACTGTTACATAAACACAAGACTTCTTGCATTAGTAACCCAAGTTCTGTTATTTACACTTCCTCCATAGCCTGTCGATCAGGTTAAGACAAATGATTAATAGCTCCTGTGTTGCATGCACGGAGCCTTAACAGGATTTGACACAGAAATCAGGATGCTGATGTGGTTTGATGGCTATCAGACTGCACAGGGACGACATGGACCATAAATCATCACCTGACATTATGTGGCAGACAGTATATGCCTTGCATCTATGCATAAATGCATCATAGCGTGTTTTCTGTAATAAATGGCAAGAAAAAAATAGCAGCAAGTAACAAATTTTCCACTCTTTATCCACAGTGCCAGGCAGATATTGGTCAATGTCAGTGCATATCCTCAATGAGCATCCTGTACACGTAATCCCAGGCTCCAAACTAGTTCTCACTGCTCGGATCCAAAAGGATCCCAGGGAAGAGATCTCCACTATAACATGGGCGCGGGAACCTGAAACTGGACGTGATCGGGTGAAGGTGACGCTGGCTGCGTGTCCTGCTAAAAACACTAAGTGTTCTGGTGGCACTCCAAATATACAAATGAGTTTCATGGAGCAGGAGACAACGCTAGAGATCAACAGATACAGCATAGAAGACAGCGGGGAGTATTCAGTGACGGTGATGGATGGCTCAGGAACCAATGCTACTGGACGCTGTATCGTCAGGGAATATGGTACAGTATGATGAACAACATTTGGAACAAAATAATGAGCTTTTAAAGTCAGTTTATTTGGATGCAAGTTGCAAAAAAGGATGCAAAAAATCTTCCTTTTATTTTAAATAAACGCCTCCATTGCATGTATGTAAGGAGGCCAAACATTTACAAAAAGGAATATAAAAACAAATAGAATGATTATAGATTTGTATTCCTTCCACAATAAAACACATGAGGTCATATTTTCTATATATGAGAAAACAAAATTTAGATCAAAACCTTCTACTGTACATTTGGAAAATGTTCCTAAACTGATAAAAGTTTCCACATGTTCCTACATGATAAAACTTCCTAATGGTTCGTGTTATTACAAAAAATAATACCAGATGTGCAAAAATTGTCTATGTAGGGAACACTTATGTTACTGTATGATCTCATTTCCACATATGGTACAATTGTGGAAATACCGTCCATAATGAGAAACTTATTTTACACATAGAAGGGAATAGAAATATCCGTCATTGTCTAGTGGTGGAGAAATGTATGTTTAACAGCAGAAAAGTGAAAAGCAAATGGAATAATGTAGCTAAACACACAATTAAAAAAGGTCCTTAAATAGAAGCTTCACATTAATCTGAATTAAAATCTTTAAGTTTAATGATTGTATAAGAAACAGTTTTTTGTTAGGTTTGGTGGAACTTACTTGAGGACCCAAATGCATAGATGAGGAGGCAGAGCTGTGTTTTCCTGATTTAAAAAGGCAACAGAAACAAAATACAAGAACCAAAATACAAGGATACGTCAGGGGAAAACACACATGGGGAGCCAAGTAACAACAAGAAAGCAGCAAACAGTGACTGAAGAGGAGGAGTATATATGGGGGACAGAATGAAGAATGGGCCAATCAGCTGATAGGGAGCAGGTGTGGATAGAAGTAACTAGAAGGGAGCTAGGGGAAATGAGACTGGCACAAGGGGGCAACAGAGAGTGAATCTGAAAAGGCAACACGGTTTAAATATTACATAAAATGGAAAAGAATCCAATGACCAACAAAACAGAATGACATCCGAAAACTCAAAAAGAAACTCAAAAATAAGTCCAAAAGGATACATGTTTTTCACATCAATGCAATCAGACTGTTAAATAGTTTAATAGTCTATCCCACAAAACTGAAAGACATCATGGACTTTTTTTAGTTGCAAATTTAACCCTGTGTTTTGTTTCATTTTAAACAGTTTATAAACCTTACGCCATCGTCCCAAAGGTCAGCAGATGCTGAAGCAATTGTGATGGAGACATATTTTTGGAAATTCTGTTGCACTGCAACATTTGGAAGCTGTTTATATAAAACCCGTTTTAAAAAGCGCGTCCTTGCTCACTAATTGCATTAAAGTAGACGTAGTTCCCTTACTGTAGCTGATATGCTCTAGCCTTTCTAGTTTGATATTCAGTAGAAACAAAAGTGTTATGAATTCTTCTAATTTCTCGCTTAAACCGTTTTTTTTCCTTCTGAAGGTGAGCATTTCATTTAATAATGCAACACTTGAAATTAAATTTGCCTCAAGGCTATGTTCTCCTGTTTCTTCTTTTTTGTTTGTGCCTTTCCAAATGGCTCATCTCTTATTGCAGCTCTTTCATTTTCCCCCTTCATCCAATGTTTTAGACTTTATACTTCCCTCTCTGAGCTCATCATTGGCTCTGATTCAGCTTCTCCTGACAGCATTGAATGTCTCTCCAGGTTCTTTGTCTTGAAGCCTCTTTGACAGGCATGTACCATTATCCAATAACAGATAGAAACCCACAGCACACTTCATCCCTCTTGTTTCTATCCAGCTCCCAGTTTTACCTACTTGCTTATCATGATTTTTGACCTCATCACAGTTTCTTTGTCACCCCAGAGGCAGTTCATCATGTCTCCGTCAGCATCAACATTTCTCACTCCTTGCTGATTTGCCACGAGGCGTGGGGAACAGACCCCAGCTTCACCTGGCTGCATGAGAGAGCCGCCATCACTCAGCAGGTGGGAAGTGTCTCCAAGGGTGGAAGCACGCTGCTTGTGACAATGACTCCCATTTGTGGCCACTTCACCTGCATGGTTGGCAACAAGCTGGGACACAGTTCTGCCACATACACAGCAGGCATGAGTATAATTTCACTCTTAACCATACATATGCTTCTCTGGTGTTTAAAAAACATTCAAACTCATTTAGTTGGAGTATCTGTAACTTTTTATAGCTGCAAAGAAAAGTAGTTGTATTTCTGAACATCTGAATTGTAGAGTTAAAGGCCAATTTGCAGTGAATACCCAACTTATGAAAGTTATTGCTTCTTCAGTTTCTTGCTGCTTTGACTGCTGTGAGTTTAGTGGAAAACTCTGCAGCCTTAACTTTTTATCATGTCCAATACGGAAACCTCAGAACGTGGGTAATCACTAATCAAAGTTGCATAAAATCTGTGAGATAAGTGGCTTTTTTAAATAACTATATTAATTAATTCTTATACATTTCCATATACGTAATAATAAAAAGCACAGTAAGATCTTACTTTTAGAGGTAATTTTCAACAAAATACTGCTGCAATAGTATTTGTCAATGTAAAAAAAGTCATATAAAATAGATGTAAGTAAAGCATTAATCCATCCATTCATCCAGACATCCATCTATCAATCTATCCACACATCTCCTTCCATTTATCCGGGTTCAGGTCGCGAGGGTAGCAGCTTCAGTAGGGAGACCTACTGTAGACGTCCCTCTCCCCAACCACTTGGGCCACCCCCTCCGTTGGAATCCCAAGGCGCTCCCGGGCCACCCGAGAAACATAGTCCCTCCAGCGTTTCCATGGGTCTCCCTCTGGGTGACCTCCCGGTGGACTGTGCCTGAAACACCTCACCAGGGAGGCCTCCAGGAGGCATACTAACCAGACTCCCGAGCCACATAACTGGCTCCTCTTGATGTGGAGGAGCAGTGCATCTACTCTCAGCTCCTCAGCCTGTCTCTAAGGGAGTCAGACACACTACGGAGAAAACTAATTTCTGCTAGTACTGTATCCGGAATCTCATTCTTTTGGTCAATGACCCAAAGCTCATGACCATAGATGAGAGTTAGAACATATATCTACTTGTAAATCTCCTTAATTAGTTTATTTTTAATACCCTACTCTTATGTATGATGAGGATCAGCAGATAGGAATATAGCACCGAGGCAGGTAAAACATGTCTGGAGGTTCTAGTTGGAAAGCTGTAATAAAAACAAAAATATCTTTCTTTATATGTACGAAGGAAAATATTCCCCAAAAGAACTTGCAGATGTTATCACTGCAAAACAATGTTCTACATGAATAAAAAAGGGATTATCTATTTATTTGAATACATTCTGAAACACCTAAATATGTTTTTGTTTAGTTTCCTGTCATTAGCTATATTTGTTATTCTGGCTCATGAAACACCAGTTTATGGTTGTAAAATGACAAAAAATTAACCTGCAGAGCTGCTTGTACTATTCATGTGCTTGTTATATTTTTTTTAAGTCAGCTTCTGCTTTTACTTCATGGATTTTCACACATCAGACCTTGGGTCTGTCTGGGCTCCATCCTGATTGTGCTTTGTTCTTGTATATTGTATCTGCTATGCTGTTTTTCTGATAAAGGATTTTCCACAGTGTGATCAATAAATCACTGTCGCTGCTTCGGCCATTGCAGCTTGCAAAGCTGCTAAACAGGCGAGACAAATGCAATTGTCTGCCAAAGAACATGATCGTCCAAGTGCTGTCTAGGTATCTTAGGATGTGTTCTACTATCTTCTTTCTTTTTGCCAGGTTATAGACTTGATCTTTTAGGTGTTACAGAGCAGACATGTCAGATGTTTGTTTTTTCTTCCCTTTTCATTCTTTTTTTTTTATGGCTCACAGCACCTTGTGAAAGTGGGGGCAGAGGGACGATGGCGGCTGTGGTGTGTCTTGTCCTCCTGGTGCTGGTGTGTGGAGGAGTCCTGGCGTTTCTGCTGTGGAGGTACAGAACCAAACAAAAACACTGTGTCAGACACAAATCTTATTTCAGGCTATGCTCTGAAGATAAGGCTAATGCTGTGACAGAGAGAGAAACAATAATAACATGGGGAGAGTGAAACAGAAAAATACGACATGGCTTCCTCCCACCAGCTATGCAACATGACAGGCTAGGCTGCATCTGCTGACAAAACAATTGTCATTTTTTTACTCCAGTGTGTTCACAGTTTGTTACTGCTGTTTGATCTAAATTGAACACCTCTTTTAAGGAGGCACAAGGAGAATAACAGAGGAGAGAGATTGTACGAACCGACGGATGAGACAATCTAAAAAGACTTGAGCTGTTGCTGAAAACCCTGGGAGGACCACAGTGGACAAACCGCCCAGTGAGGGTGGAAACTTCCTGTCCTGTGAGCAGTATGACCTCACGCTGAATGGGAACAATGTGGAGAGTGAACTGCTTTTGGAGTCTTTGGCTCAGTACCTCTTGCTCTGCCTGAAAAGGTTCTTTGCTACTGTAGTTTTTATTTTCTTTTTTTTGCTATCAATAAATTGTATAAAAATGACACATTGGATGCCCCTTACCATAATGTAGTAGAAACCTTATATTGTATCGTTTGATTGAAAAAAGCTTTAAGAAAAGACAAGCTTTTAAGGAGATGTTGGGGTTTTTCGACAGTGCTTAGGTCAGACAGTCTCTCATTTTCTTTCCTTTCTATTGCGTAGTTATAAGCTGCATGCACACAGATTGAGAGCTAAAGCTGCTGGAAGAAGCCTGGCTTGGAGCAGATCCAGTCTAAAGCTGTATGACGCCCTAAATACAGAGCTTCTACACAGCATCGAAAAAGTTTGGAGAGGTGTGAAATTTGATTTAAGTACATATTTTCGTTTTTTCTGGATAAAACCAGAAAGTGGACTGTTTGGTAAGACAAAAACAAATGTAATTCAGCACTTTATTTTGTATTGTTTTACCTATTGAATATTTTTTTTTTAATAAATGGCTTTTGTTATTAATCTATGCTATTTTTTTTCTCTTATATCATCATATGAAGTTATTTTATCAATGATTTTGGTTTGGAGCTACTGGCACAACCCATGGATAAACATAAGCCCATCCATCGTCAAGGTTCCCCTTTCTCTGAGGCAGCAAAAAAGAAATATTATCTCCCAGAAACCTAACGTTATCTTTATACAAATGTTGTTTGTATTTCTGCTCATAAAAAATATTATATTTTTTGGGATATGAAGGATGTTATCGAAATGTTTAGGTTTTGCAGCTCCAGAAAATACTTTTTGTATCAACCCGTCCTGGAGACCCTTGCAGTTGATCATCTTTTTGATATTCTAAAAAAAAAAAAAAAAAAAAAAAAAAAGTTCACTTCATAGATTTAAATGAAATAATAACAGTTCTCTCCTCAAAGCAAAACATGGCGGAGTTTTTATCTCAACATATTCCTGCCAAAGCATACAATACATTCAGAAACTCAAAAGGCTCAAAGATCCCAAAAAACTTTTGTATTGTTTTGTTTCAAGGTGTGCAGAGTCATACCATTACTGCATATTTGCATATCGTAACCAGTTAAGTCTCACCTCAGAGCTTATGTTATCCTTCCACCAACTTTTTAAAACATTTCTTTTAAATCATTTAGATTAAGTCAGCCTGACCTAGAACAGCTACAAGTTGTCAAAAATTGTATCATTCCTAGAACCACTATTTACTCGTATCTGCACACCAAAGCCCTGGAAAACAAATGTAAACATATTAATTTAAAGATCTATTGCAACGTGGAGAACATCTTCCACACAAGGAAATAGCAGTTCAACAATTAACCTTCAACTAAAGAAGGTAGTAGATGGAGATTATTCTGTCCAATAAGTGTTCATGGTTTCTACACAAAGCAAGAGATAGAAAAACACATTTGGTTTAGCATTACAAGAATGGGGTTTGACTGTTTTGTATTTGTCAGTATTTTTTTTTTTCACTAACCATAGCTTCCTTTATAAACACACAATATATAAACGCATGTAGTGTTATCAATTGTACCGTAAAATTTAAGTGTTAGCTTCAAAATGTGGTAAGATATAACATACAAATTTGCAAAATTTGGTAAGTATAAACTTTCTTGTGACTGTATCAACATGATGCAATAAAACGTATTAAAAAAACTTCTTCAAGCTTTTATATTGACACCCCACTTCAAGCTTCCTGTTTCTGACTTTCAGGGATCCTTCCACAGATATCTAGGATTTTGGCTCCTCCTTTAGACAAAATATATGTAACTGAGACACGAATTTGGTCGCAAATCTTCTTTCTATGCAAATTGTGTTTGGGTTTATTAATTGGCTTCAAAATGTCTTCTTTTTTTGCCCTTAAGATAGAAAATACCACATGGCTTGTACTCACATAGCCAACGTAAGAACTCTAAAAGCTGTTTACACACTCATGACTCATTATCCTGATCATTACTATGTGTTGGTCCACATTTGTACAATAGATCAAAGGTCATTGATTAAAAATACAATCAGGTTTGAGGGCCATAAAGATTTTTGCAGGGTAGTGTATGCTATGGTGTTACAATTCTTGTGCAGCGAAGCTTTATTCCATCTCTGACTGATATCAACTGTGGTGAAAGCTATTTTCAAACTCTGGCATAATTTTTTGGCTTCTTTTTTTTTCATCCCACATTGGCTGCAGCTCCATGTGTTGCAGTGTTACTGTGAATTAATCTTGGAACATTTACTTTGTGGGAGTTTTCGTTGACAGTTTTTGTTTTTGCTTAACAAACTGAACGAAACGTCCTTGGTGTCAATCCAAGAAACTGCAGAGTTGTGTCCAAAAATACGACCAAACACCCCCCTTGCATTGCATACTTTGAGATTGCACCCAGTCCACTCAAGCCTTTTAACCTTCAGCATTGTTACTGATGTGCTCAAACAAGCTATCTGAAGTAAGTGAGACCATATGGGTCAAGTGAGGGACACACTTTTCATGGTGTGAGAGGAAAGTGCATGAGAAAACTACTGTCATCAAAGGTTTTGAAGGAGCTTCTGAGGGTTTTTGAGTCATCCTTTTTTAAGACATTTTGTAAGATAACAGAAATGTTGCTGTATATTCTGTAAAAAAACTCCATTACGTTGCTGAACCTTCAACTGATGTGATTATAGATAAGATCTTTAGGTCCCTGAGGGCGTAGCCTGGTGCTGAGCCGACAGTGATGAAATATTCTGAAAACGAGAAGAAAACACGTTTAATACAAATCTCAGCTTTAGAGTGTAAGTCTCCATTCTGTCTGCATTTCTTTGACAGGCAGTGAGCCTGTCAAAAAAATATAACATGCAGAAGCATAATTGCAAATTTGGGTAATACTGAATAAGCAAACAATTTTTGTCACTTGAGATTTCTTTTGCAAAATTCCCCCTCTGAAGCAAGTATGTTTTAGCATTTCTTGTTGTATTCTTATCCTTTCTTGTGTTTTTATATCTTCTGTTGCTTCCCAGCAGACTTTAGAGGGTTGGAGCTGCAGGGGAAACTCATATATCAGGTGGAGGAGAATGTAAAAGTTGCATAAACTTAGATTTGTAAATATATCCCAAGATATCTAAACTATAAAACAATACTTTGGGATGTCATTCTTTAAGAGACTTTAGAGACTGAACAATTGTTCCCATCTGATCTCCATGTATTGAGCTGTGTAGCAGAAAACTTAATAGTGTTTCATTATAACAGCAGCAGCTATTTGGCCACACTATTATCATGGAAATAACAGATGACTATTTTATGCTTCTCTTTGCTCCAGAACTTAAGATAAAAATACAATACTAATAGATTATTTAGATTATTCATTTATATTCCTGAAGATAAACTTGGGAGTTTTTGGAGCAGAGGGAGAGATGATGGTAAGACTAAGGAAATCATTTCAAAGATCAACATGTTTGAGGTTATCATTGACAAAAAATAACAGAATTTTTATTTTTCATGAAGTCTTTAACTATAACCAACATGAAACCTGCAGGAACTTAATGCTACTAACATGCAGAGCTTGTTTAAGTTATATTAACCTTTCATCATATCTCCTTGTGAAGAAGGGCTACATTGTCTAATCAGCACTTCAGCTGACTGGAAAGTAATTATGTTTGCCAGATTTGAGTCATAACGCTGCCGCTGTGAATGGAAAAAAAAATGGCTTGAAATAATTCTCTTTGTGAAATGAATTTATCTACAAATGTGCAGTAAAATTTATCTTAGGTAAATATCATTCAAACAAACTTTATTTGGAAAGCATGACTCATAATAACAAGTATAAAACAAAGTGCTATAAATCAACATGCCTATAAAATGTTAGACAAATTAAAATGAACAAAAATAAGTCAATTCAAAAAAGAAATTGAAAAATTAAACCTGGTTTGTAATGATGCAGAATACAGGGTCAAATGGAGACAGATCAGTCGCCTTGGCAACCGCTGAAAGTAAAATGCTGAAAGATGTAGAAGAGGTTGAATAGAGAAGAGAAAATAAAAACATTGATAAATATATTCAAATGTTCAAACTTTTACCACAAAGTAAACATAGAAATAAAGAAACATGTGAAAGATCAAAGTATTATTGATAAGATAAAAAAACAATTCTCCATAAAAAAAAAAAACAGATAAGGGTATAATTCTTGTTCAAATGTTTAGGTAAAAATTAAGCAGAAGATTAATATTTGTAGTTTATTGCAGCTTTTAAAACAATACAAAAAACATATTAACATATAAATCAAACTACAATGATTGAAAATTGAGAAATGCGAACAAAGGTGAAGTTAGGGAAAAAGAGAAAAATTGAAAAATGGCAAATACAAATAATGCTGTCATTTGATATGAACTTCCTCAGGTTGTTTATGATAATGAAATCTTAACTTAAAACTGAATAATAATAAACAAATTAAAAAGCAAATTAAATGAAAATAAGAAGTTCAAGTAATAGCCAGACAAGAAATATATGTTTTTAATTTGCACTTAACTCATCACCTCTCTGCCCAGCGGTTTTCAGAAAGGCTTTACCACAGATGAAGGCCGCAGGAAAAGCATCTTTACTGTGTATATTAACAAACACGACCTAAATAAGTCCTCCTTTTATGAACCTAATGAAAAGATTTTCCATCAAATCATTTAGTCAGTTAACGGATTAATCAAGGTGGCATTTCTAGGATTACAGCGCTGGCTGACTCTGAGCGATTTCTGAGCACCAACCAGGTTCAGATGTTCAGTAAAATTAGAACTCAGCATCAATAAAAAAAATGCATAGAGTACCTGCAGCTTTCTGTTATCTTTCAGATGCACATGGACTCAAACACTCAGATTTCTGTGCACATTATGGGGACTAGTTCACTTGTCCTTAAATATCTTAAATTGTGGCCTCAGTTTCTAACAGCTTGATTTCTTCCCTAGAGCTTTGCCCACACAAAGGGAATGGTAAAGGTCTAACAAAAGGTAAATGACTGGTTTGCTGTGATTAGATGAGAACGTGACAGTGTATTTAAAATCAGCTGCTCAAACCCACTCCTTTTCTAATGTTGTGTTAAGAATGTCACAACCTTTAGAGACCCAGCGAGGCATTTTGGGGGTTAAAAGGTTTATTAATTGTCTGCTAAGTGTTTAATGAAAAGGTTACATGTCTGCACAGTCCATAATAAATCCATTGCTTTTATTTACCAAAAGAAATGCAAAATAAAAAAAATTATATAAAAGAAAGATAAAAATTTCTCTCCCTTTCATACAGAAAAAAAGGCATGCCTTCTAAATCATATGAATTCAAATATTATGTTTAATATAAGAGGTGAAGAATCAGCATCATAGAGAAACAATAAACACGTGACTGTCAGAAATAGCTGCCTATGTGTCTGCAGCGCATAACCTGCATGTTTGCATTGAATCTGTATACAAGCAAATGCACCAAATGCACAAGCAAATATTCTCTGCCTGCATTATGTTGATAGATTATTTAAGTCTGAGGATAACGTCTCTCAGAAGCTCCAAGATATTTGA